GTATTAGTATTAGTATTAGTATTAGTATTAGTATTAGTATTAGTAGTAGTAGTAGTAGTAGTAGTAGTAGTAGTAGTAGTAGTAGTAGTAGTAGTAGTAGTAGTAGTAGTAGTAATCATGAGGAGTGCACTGGCCAGTCACTAAGGGAAAGCCTGGCTGAAGAGAAAGGGGCCTTCACCTGTTTGGAGAAGGGCAGAAAACATGGGGCCAGCCGGGCCATCTGTGTGAGGGAGTTCCAGAGTCTGGGAGAAGCAGCTGAGAAGGCCCTGTACCATGTCCCCACCAAACATGCCAGTGAAGGTAGTGAGAGAGAGAAAGGCACCTACAGATGATCTCAACACCCAGCTAAGTTCATAGAAGGAGCAACATTTTTGAGATAGCTTGGACTGAAGTAAATATGGTGTTTTAATTATTTAAGCTGCCTTCGGTCTCTTTTAAGAAGAAAGACAGGGAGAAAGTATTTTAAATAAATAAAATAATAAATAAATCTAGCCATGGAGATGGGAGAAGGGAATGTGTAGCATGGTGGGGCAGGAACCATGGGTGACAGGATGACAGGGGTAGTAAACTGTGCCAGCAACAAGAGGGTGAACCTCTCCCTCTTCCCTCTCTCACCTCACTGTCACATCTTGCCACCTATCCTCCCATTTGCATTCCATTCCCTCTTCCCTAGTATGTCTGATCCGCTGGTGCTCCTCCCCCTGTAAACAGGCCTGGAACTTTAAGAAGTGCTGTGGTGGGGCTTTGTTCTTCCACAGACAAAAAAAATCTGAGCAGGGGCTCCTTCTCTCCATCCCTGTAGGGGCCCTACCAAACCTCAGAGACCAATTTGACTTTATATAGTCTATGGGGAAGAAAATCTTAAATGCCATTTTCCTGCATTGCTGAATCTTTAGCATATCACACAAGCTTTCACAAGGTATGATCAGAGTTGCACTCAGTGTCTACATGTTATATGCAAGTGACTCAACCGTACAGGAAATGTCACCAATAATTATGATACTGCCCTTGACTGCATTCAACAAGATGCATCTGCAGCTCTTGAATGAAGTGAATGGAAAACTTAGTGAAGAATAAGAAGCCATGTGGATAAGAGAGCTGTTGATCTTTTGTGTGTTACTCAGCATTATATTATTGTTTCATTGCTCTTCCTCTGAATATTACCACAAAGAACATAGAAATAGAAAAGGAAATTGTTAGCTCTCTGCACATTTTTATTTTTTCCATAGAGTCTATATTTTACTTTCCTTCATAGGCATTTCTCCTACGTCCCGATACTGGTTTTGGAAAGCAGAATCACTTGTGCCATGCAATTATATCACGGACAGATGCTGTGCCTGTAACTGCTCAGTGTGTGCAGTGGACTGAGTGATAGACTAGGATTCAGAAGGCCTGGGTGTGAATCCCCACATAGCCATGCACTGGGAGTCTGGAACATGTAAAGCTATTCCTTTAATATCTCACCTTGAAAGTCCTACATATAATGTCTCACAAGCAAGCACACTGGCCCCCTGGGATAGTTCACAGAGTCAGCAGGAGCCTGGTGCCTTCCTTAAACATTTCATGTTGTCTTCCCATGCAATCTACTCTTTTTAGACCTCTCTTGTTGGGAGAATGGCACCTTACAGTGTTATGATTAGAGGTGGGGGTATACTCCCACACAGATGGACATACCATCCACTCATGCATCCACTGGTGGCAGTGGCTCCCCTCTCCCTTCCAATCACTCTGGAGCTCCTGGTCGGCTATCCTCTCCTGGCAGAAGGAGGGAAGACAAGTCTCCCTGCCAGGCTGATGAGTGGATAGCCGACCAGGAGCTCCAGAGCAATTGGAAGGGAGAGTGGAACTGGCAGCTGTGGCAGATGCATGAGTGGATGGTCCTGCCCCAGGACGCTAAACCCTCATTACAACCAGCTGTGTGGGGTTATTTGTATTCATATACAAATACAAATGTCCCCATCTCTAGTTATGATATGTACTTTCATAGATGTTATGCAGTAATTCCCACAGTGGAAAGCACATTATGCATGAGGAAAGGCAATTCTGGATCCAAGACAAAGTTTTTTTTCCAACTTGAATTATGGCAAAAATCTATGCTACAAAAATGAGATTGCTTTAACTACTTTTTATTAGAAATTAAGCAGTACAAATAAACTGCATGAACAGATACTGGGGGAGGTAGGGTAAAACTGAAATAGTATAGTGGCCTAAATCCTCTTACTTAATTATACTGGCATAGCACAAATGATAGAGGTGAATTACCCCAAGTTAAAAAATCACCGTATATATTAGCAGTTGCATAGTGAATTGTATGACACAGCATGCAATTGATAATATCTATAGTCATTTCTTAACTTGGAGTAATTCACACTGCATAGTTACTCAAGAGGATTTTGGCAAATGGATCTTAAGGTATAAAACGTAATGGAATGATCTTCAACACAGCAGGTGACTTGAAACAGAATCTATACACAATCAGGTGTAGACAACAAATGCAAACAATTATGTTTAAGTGGCTGTGCCCTGCCTATAAAATGTAAATGTAAGGACTTAAGTTGCATGGATTTCGGTAGGAGAGATGTAATACTTAATGCCCTGTCATACTTAATGCCCTGTCAAAATCAGCAGGACTTTAAAGAGCTTAATTTTTACTTGATTATGCCATAGTTGGATAGCTTGATAAATGTAGTCCCAAAATATGCACCAAGTGTGCTAAATCCAGGCATATGTCAGTGGACTTCTGTTTGGAATGAAGTTTGTCCTTCCTTCCTTTCCCATGCAGCCCTAGCATAAAGACACACAAACCCACTGAAGCATCCTGTGATTATTTGAAGCAGACAAGTGGGTGCAGAAGAAAGCAGAAATTTGGTCTATCAGTGGTACCTATTCTGCTTGAAGACAAAGTTCAATGCAAACTATGGTTGAGTTCATTTAAAAAGCCAAAACAGTATAATCAACGCTTCCCAAAATAATATAATCAGGATAGCACAAGGAATAAATCACTGGTGCTCTCCATCAAATTTCATGTACAGAATTTAAGGAAAGTGTTTAATAAATTCAGTTTTCCCACCTGGAAGCAACTTTGATTTCAATTCCTTGCATGTGTGTGGAATAAGTACTAGCTGCTCAAGTACAAAACTAAGCAGAAAATGAAAACAGTACTACAGAAAAAGACTGGAAACTCCACAGTCTGATTCTACTATCACTAGAGGGGGATAATTTTTTCTTTTTTCCTTTTGACCTAAGATGACTTAGCTTTCAAAAAAAGGGAAAAAAAGAGTTCGTAACTCGAATCTAAGTTCGTAAGTCGAGTCCATATATTCCTATGAGAGTGGTTCGTAAGTCGAAACGTTCGTATGTCGAGCCGTTCGTAAGTCGAAACAAAACAGTACTACAGAAAGAGACTGGAAACTCCACAGTCTGATTCTACTCATATTTCAGTTTTCCTAATTCACTCCCCATATTCTGAGCTGAGATGTCACCTTCACTCTGTAGTTTAAGTTCCAAGCTCCAGCATAGGTAGACTTCCCATTTGATGGATTGCATTTCAATATAATAAGCATGCATGCAGACAGAACCATGACTTATGGCAATTTATCACCTTACCTGTCATATTGCAGTATACAAGAAACGGGCCCAAGGGACCACTCCCATCTGAATCAATATAGTAAAAGCTTGAAGTGTTCCCTCTGTGCTTATAGGCTTCACAAGATTGCTCATAAATAGCTGTAAAAAATATCTTGCATCACAAACATAATGGCATCATTTGCATTTCATTTAGGGCATGAACAGTTGTGTGAGTGGTGAAGTAAAATATACAATGCATGTGTTCAAAGCTCAGGGAAATAGCAAGGAAATCACACCTTTAAAAATTGCACTATTTTTGACATAAGTAAACAATGTTTACTGCTATCAAAAGAAACTAAGTGGGCATTTCTCTTTGTCTGCTCAACAACAGAATTTACCTAGAAGATAGCTAGAGGAATTGGACGAACAGCTAAATAGCCCAATAATGGAATGTCAAGAAAAAAATCAATGTAAATAAACACTCTCTGTCATCAATATACAAAAATAAAAAAGGACAATGATCATTAACCATGCTAGTTGATTTGATTTCAATTTCGGCAGATGTCATTTCCAATTTTAGATGTGCTTGTTGGGCATGCTGGGAAAGAGCTGTGTAAGACTTCTAAAAAATTCATGCAGGATCTTTAAGATCCTTTCACTTTGATCCATAGATCCATTTCCTTAACAACAGGATCTGAATGCAAAGCTCTCCACACATCTGTCAGTCAAAATGAGAGCTGATCATTGGTTCACTGCGGTCTGCAGAAAAAGATTTTGTTTTGAAGCAAACCTCGATCTCAAAAGCTTCTCAGAACAGAACAGAAGCCTACTGGATTTGCTAGTATAAGCATCTAACTGTGTTAGAGACAAGGCACCATCACTTTTAATCAGAATGCCACATGGGACACTTGATCAGTGCCTTCAGCAGCTTTAAAAATAATAACAGAAAAGCACCTTGTAGCATGGACTACCTTACCATTTGGCAGCAGCCTCAAGCAACAGTATTAAGGTATCCCAGCAGGGCAGCACATTGTTATTTATTTTGCTATTAGTTTATTTGTACTGCTAAGGATGACAAGTATCACCTACAGGATTTTCAGTCTCATGTGCCAAAATAATATGGCTAGATTTGTGTGGTAGGTATCTTGACTTTGGTGAATTTGATGCTTTGCCCCCCCCCCGCGCAAAATGGCTTCAACTCCCCCTACAAAAGGGATGGCCACATGTACATCAACAGGCGGGGGGGGGGAACCAAACCAAAAAACAATAACAGGGTTGTTCCTGGACCATTTCTAGGAGATGAGTGGTCTTTCCACTGATCATACCATTTGATCCCAGTGTATTTAAAGCTATCAACTATCAATATGTTTATTGGTTTAACTGTTTTTAAATTTGTAATGCCACCCGGAGTAGACCTTTGGTCTAGATGGGCGGGGTAGAAATTCAATTAAACAAACAAACAAAAAACACGGAAACTCTGGAAATGCTACAAACAAAATGAATTGCACACTTTTTTGCTTATGCACCTAGCTAATTAAACATAGACACAGACACACACAGAGAGACAGAGAGACAGACACACACACCTTTCTAGGCAGCTGAAAAAACTAGCTGACCAAGCTTTAATTTCAAAGATAAGTGGTAGCGATTTTGGTTTCCCACTCTCTCCTACAGACTTTAATGTGTAACCATCAAGCTCTAGAAGTATGAAAAGGCCTTTGATGTAAACTTGTAGAAATTGATCCATGTGTCAAGCCTCACAATTAAACAGCTCTCAGTTACTTATCAAAATATACCTAAGCAATAATATCTGAAGTAGATTAGTTCAACTTTTCAAAATAATGAAATATCATTCCAAAATCATATTGTAGAAGATAGTTGTTTGTAAAATGATATTGTTTAGTTCATTGACTGTTCTTAATGCATTTTGTCTAACAGATATGTTCAGGATGAATAACTTATTGCTAAAAGAAGAGGAAAATACAATTTTTCCTTATTGTTTTTTTTTCCCTACTGATTTTTCATCTGATTGGGGCTTAGGATGGGGCTAAATCAAAAAGTAGACAAAAAACCTTGTTACTCAATGCAAAAAGAAGAGTATAAAATTCTCATCAGAAGGATAGGTTTGAAGTGTTGTACTGCCTGACACAAATGTGATTTTATGATACAGAAATTAAAAGACAGATCAGTGGTATAATTTACAGTAGAAGTGCGAAGACTTATCAAAGTAGTTAAACATTCATTGACTTCTTGGTGTCACTGTTCTGAAACAGAACATGAGGACATAAGAAGTGGCTTACTTCAACTGATCAAACATTTTCATCCATCAGGAGTCTACCAAGGACAGTTCCAACAAGGGCATAACAGAGACAGGCAGCCTTGCCATTTGAGATAAAGATGGTCAATTCACTCCAATGCCTGTGTCACTCATGCATACTCTCACTAGGCAGAATGTGGATCATACATTTATCCATGAACATCCTGCCCTGAGGTACTACAGTTTTGGTCACACATATTTGAAGAATTGGAAGCTACTACAAACCAAAATATCTCACTGTCACTCATATTTGGTTTATTACCCCTCTTTTATTGGGATAAGACTGATCTGTTACACTGAAAACTGATCATCTCTCTGTGCCTGCCTGCCTGACTTGTGATAACTTCTAGATGGAAACATGTTAAGAACCCATCTATCTTGCAATGGAAATTGAAGGTCTGGCAGACTGCACTCACGGGAAAACACATCCACATCCTCAGAACATCTATAGATCACTCTGGCTTCCTTACTAATTATAGGAACATAGACTTAGCACAGGGTGAACTTTGAAAGGAACCTCTGCCATTATAAGCTATTTACCTTCCCCCTTCTCTTCCATCAGGTGCATTATTATGTACCTCTCTGTCATTTAACTGATATATCCTTGGTCTGTCTTCTTCTTACTAGTATGTCTGCAACTTGTCAACTGCCAAAAAACTTGGTTGTCCCAACCCAAGAAGACTTGAGGGGGTTGTGACAGCTGGGTGAGATTCCTTGATTCTTGTTGACACTGAAGCAAGGGGCTTTTGTTTTCTCATTTAAGGCCTCCACAATTTATGCAAAAACAGTTCCTCTTGGAAAGTAAAGCAAGCACACATAGAAAACAGAAGAGGACAGGCTGAATGTAAAAAAACAAAACAAAAAAAACATAAACAGTCCAAAGTTTGACACTGTCAAATGGCCATGAGCTGGTTTTTTGTTTGTTTGTTTTTAACACAAGCACAATTCCACAGCAGAAAACCTTCTCCAGTCCTCAGGAGGAAGGAGCACAATGTGGTGATTTCTCATTCTCACAAGTATGAGACAACCCAACGATTTTATCTCTAGTGTTTACCAGTAAGTCCAACTCATTCCCTAATTAAACTGTGGAGTTGTCTTCAATCTGGACCAAAACAAAAACAACAAAAAACGAACAAACAAAACCAACAAAGACACACACACACAAAACCCCCATAACTTAGACTCCTACTCTAAAATACAATTTTTTTAAATGTTGATAAAGTATTTCACTTACATGAGTGACATGTAGCCCCCATATAACCTGTGTTTGCACAATTGCAGTAGAAACTATTCCAAGACTGAGAGCATTCACCCCCATGTTCACAGTAATTAGGCAGACATCTATAAGGAAGAAAGGAAATGTGGACACAATATTAGCTGAGACATGGTCGGAATACATAGACATACAGCTTCATAGAATCCCATCTGAAATCTTCACTCATTCATGGAACTGGAATCAGAATTCACAGCCCACTCTCAGAGAGAAGAATGAGCAAACTTAGGGATCCTAAGGTTGGAAGTTACACAAACAAGACAGGACAGTAAGAAGAGAAAAAAACAGAAGTAAGAAGGAGCTTTAAAACTATTTAAATCAGGTCTCACCTGTTTTGAGTCATTATAAAAATGGCTGAATACACTACATATAACGGTAGATTAATTTGATGGGAATTGTGCTTTTTGGAGCAACAGCAAGTTTTTTACACTCCTCTACCAGAGGAGGTAAAATGCTGCTGCTGTCACCATCAACTCTCTCTTCCCCCTTGCAGCCAGCCAGTTTCAGACTGTGTCTCTTCCTTCACCATGACTGTTTGTGTGTGTGTTTTGTTTGTTGTGTGTGCCAGCTGCAAATCACCACCCAGCTCTCTTTCATGTGTCAGTGCTCACAAGACACTGCTGTGTATGTGAAGACTTTTCTAGCACAGGCCTACTCGGCTGTTTCCCATTGCATTTCCAACACACATACACGCCTCCCCACCTGCCTCTCTGAATTCCAGCCTTGGATTGAAGAGACAGTACATGGGTTTGGTGGGGGTGTCCCTCCAAAAATATTCAATTAAATGTTTGTTTCAAGGGAATGCAAACAGCGATTCAAATACCACATGACTCGGAGTTGATTTAAATTAATTTCCCTGTATACCAACACATATTCATAATGATTGCTTTTTTTGTAAATGAGCCCTCAGCCTGCTCTGTAAAAGCTCAACAGAATGGACTATTGGCCAACTGTGAAAGAAAATGGAGGAAGGATGACTTTGTGGAATAGAGTGGATCCAATGAAAAGGGAGAAGAAAAGACACACAGATAAACAAAGAAAGATTTTATTTATTCATGTCTAAGACCTGTCTTCTTTTCCATTCCTGGAGATTTATTAAAATAGCTTCCAGTGTGAGTCAAGAATTAACTTAATCAGACAATGAGATTGATCTCTCTTTTTTTGCCGCTTCATAAAATGAACCCCAGGAATTGATTGTGCTTAAATCATCAATAATACAGAAATAATAAGTCAAAATATGCTAACATAACTCTGTTCAGGTTGGCTAATGAAATGAAAAAGAATTATTGTCCAATCAAAGTGATAAGATAATGTGCCTTTACTACATCTATGCCAGGAGTGGGAAAGTTCTGAAAGCCTGAGAATTTTTCAGATGCATGTTCCTGTGGGAAACACAACAGCAACTCTACATGAAATCTGATGTCATTGGGGGAGTGGGGAGGGGACAGATCTGAGAAGACTGAGGTGAGATATGATAGCAGTCTTCCAGTGTCTGAAGGGTTGCCACAGGGAAGAGGGCATTGATTTATTCTTCATTGTGCCTGAGGGTAGGAGAAGAACCAATGGGTGGAACCTCATCTGAGGGACATCCAACCTGGCAATAAGGAGGAATTTCTTGATGGTGAGAACCATTAAGCAGTGGAACAGCTTGCCTCCCAATGCTGTGGGTGCCCCATCGCTGGAGGTTTTCAAGAAAAGATTGGACAGCCATCTGTCTGGGATGGTATGAGGTCTCTTGCCTTGGGCAGGGAATGGGACTAGACCTCCAAGGTCCCTTCCAACCCTACAACAATTCTATGATTCTATGATCTTCTGTTAAAACAAATTATGGCCCTTGCCTAGACCATAAATTTTTTTTGCCTTTTGTGTACTGCTGATTGGGAAACTGTCAAGAACTGTGTTTTTGATCAGCACTTCATACAAAGAGAAAGAAAATATTTTAAAAAAATTATATACAAGTGATTCAGCACAGCAGTAATTATCTAGCAGAAGTTCTTTTTTAAACTTTCCCTTTTCCTTTGTTCAATTTGCCAATATCCTCAAGTGGCTCATTTATTAAGCCATTTCTCAATACTTGAAGTTGACACTGGAAGGAGCCTTGGAAGTGTTGACAGCTGCAAGGTTCAATTTTGGTCCATCCTCAGTCATCAAACATACTGGAAATTGTATGAGCACACTTACCTTTTCCAAAAAAAAGTAGAAGCCCCTGATAGGGGCTCAGAAGGGTAAAGGTACGGGCTCTCTGAGGGTGGATTGGTTTGTTCTAGCCATCAGATTATCTGATCACCAGAAAAAATCATGAGTCTGCTTGCTCCCACAGTGCACAAAACAGCAGGACAAATGCCTGTCTCATCAAGCCAAAGTAGTTTGTTTGTTTAGTTGCTTTATTTAGGAACCAAATAATAGGTATGAAGGGAAAAGGGTGTTCCAGTATGCTATTGATAAAGGTTGAAACAACAGTAAAATGTAAATATATTTCTTCAGTGTTTAAAGACCAAAGTAACTTTTTTAGACTCTCGGTTTTCTTGTCCCACACACTATAAGCTCTCTAGATAAACTTATCTTAATAAACTTTAGAGCAGACTACTTTTCTTGCACAGCTCTCAAACTTCCTTCCCCTGCAAACTCTCCAATCTAACTCGGTTTCTCAAAACTAAACTCTAAACTGCCATTATAACTCTCTCCCAACCATTATAACCAAGAATCAATTGGCCTTCAGTCATTCAACTGCCAATTAAATTAGCACTCCATACATACATATTCACTACTCATGCATACATTGCTGTTCTCACACAAACCTGGTATAATTAATTATGGATAAATGTATACATTGAGACTTTAAGAAAGGGCAGAATCACCACACCTTGGGAGAAAAAAAAAACAAGGTTAAGAGGTGACAAAGAAATACAATTAATGGAGGAGTATGCACAGAGTACCTGGGGAGGTACATGCAGCCTAGAAACCCCAGTACTATATACCCCTGTGTTACATATAGAGAATTCAATAAACATCAATATATAAAGTAACTTTGAAAGGAGTGATTTTGAGTAGGAAATATGTTTTGGTGAATGGTGTCCAACCTCTTCCCAACGATAAAGATTGTGTATAGTTATTTAACAAAACTGCTTGGATTTGGGGGACTAGAATATAGAAACCCTACTTAAAAAACAGGTTCAACTGCTGCTATTATAATATATAGCTATTTCTGATTGTAGAATAACATTTTGTTTATGCCTGAGGAAAAGAAAGAAAACAGACCTCATTTTATTCATATTTAAATGCACATTATATATAAAAATACAGCTCAAAAGCAAAAATTGCATACTGTAGATAATCAGAAACTAATCTGCTGGAGAACACCTTGATTCTGACTATAAACATGCCTCTTCCAGCAGACGGAGAGTGTAGAATTTAAACATTTACTGTTATCTACTAAGATATTGCTGTGCAAACTTCTTATCAAGCTTTACAGTTCCATGGAACAATGCAAACTTGGAAGGAATTCCTAATATTAACGAGAATATTTTCATCAGGCTGTGCTTGCCCTGAGGAGAAATCCATGTTGTCTGGACACCAAAGACTATTTGTGTGCTTAGCTCAGCTACACATTCCACAGAGGACTTGAGTTAATTACAGCAAAAAAGTCTCATCTCAAGGGCCCCGCCCAATAACGTCATGAGTCATGCAACTGACCGTTTGTCCATAAAAATTAGTTTTGCCAGAGACTTACTGAGTGTAGCCATAGCTTGAGAAAACAAGAAAGCAGGAAAGTACGTAGCAAATGTAGGTCAAGAAACTCTTTTGGGGAAAACAGATTAGGGAAGGATACGTTTCAGAAGAAAAGCAACTGCTAGGAAGAGGGGAGTACACCTCCTGCAGCATCTCTTCTATAATCTCCCACCCCTCAGCGTACACTGCAAGTGAGAAGCAGCTGTTAGGTGAAGATTATATGTGGCCAAGCCATGTAAGCAATGACATCCAGAATAAGAGATGAACTTGCATAGACCCAAACTTTCTAGCATCGCCAGCGTTCAAATTACTGTCCACTCTGCTGAAAAATAAACCCACTCTTACCTGTCTATAATGCCACAGAGGTCTATCTGGAGGTCACTGAAATTTCCTACTGAGTTCTGTTGGACTGAAATTAAATCTATTGCATTGTTCCCAATGGAAATTTGCTTCATACATCCAAGGAAGTTGCCAAATGGATTTTTACATTCTGAACTGTTGGCATTAGTAGGACATCCTGAAACGAATAAAATATTTAAAAAGTTAAGTAGTGGAGGAAAGATTAAATTGAATCACATTCATATTTTCTTGGGAAGTCAGGAACAGATGGGACAGTATTCCTTCAATTTCTTGAGAAACATTTCAGGGGAAAAATTTATAAGCTTTGTTCAAATCATTTAGCAAAGTATCCAGTCAACACCATCTGTTAATAGAAGATGTGATTCCCCCTTCTCCTTCTTTCAGAGGACTAGAAGATTCTCCCAGTTGGGGAGGGAGGGAGGGCTCTAGAAGGAGGGAAGGAAGAGAAAATCTCATTGCTTGCATGGAAGTCTGCTTATGTGAAGTTCCCTTTCACCCTTAGCCGCTGAAATGTATGCTTAGTTATCACTAACAATGTTTCATTTAAACTATTGGGAATGAATTAAAGGTGAAGATAAAGGTTCCCCTTGACAATTAAGTCCAGTTGTGTTTGACTCTAGGGGCCAGTGCTCATCCCTGTTCGTAAATCAAAGAGCCATCATTTGTCCATAGACACTTTCCGTGATCATGCAGCCAGCATGACTAGACACAGGATGCCGTTACCTTCCCACCAAGGTGGCACCTATTCACCCACTTGCATTTTCATGCTTTCGAACTGCTATGTTGGCAGGAGCTGAGACAAGCAATGGGAGCTCACCCCACTGCACGGATTCGAACTGCCAACCTTCTGATTGACAAACCCAGTGGCTCAGCAGTTTAACTTTAACCCACAGCACCACCTGTATCCCTGGCTCCTCTTATGTCCTATCAGAAAATCACACCGCAGTTAATGCTTCGACTTCTTCATATTAAATTACTAATCACTAGAGCAGGGGAGCTCTGAAATGCTGGGGTGAGATGCCCTCTGTGTTATAGCCCTCAGTCAACCCTCCAAGAGGTTCACCAAGTGCCAAAAACTGTAGCATCATCAGGGACAACTGTCACAACTGTCTTACAAGCTAACACCACTTGTCTCAGTACCCTGTCGCTCACCATCAATCTTGTGTGTACCTAGATTATGCACCTGATCTCAGGCACCCATCACATCCTTTACTATGCTGCCACCAATTGATCTCTTTACCACCTATGTTTACTGTGAAAGACTGAGGTCCATTCAGTACTTAACTTTGAAATAAGAACAGGTTTATTCATTACAAGTTGTTTCATGAATAGTTCTTAAGCACATTCTTAAAGTTACACAAAGTGTCCAGTATATTCCTTTAACCTCTTCTACACTTAACTAATACAGATAACACACTGACTGTTTACTCACTAAAATCTCTCTTTGCCACAAAACTCCCAAACTATCTCTCTATCTCTTCAAACTCTCCACTCGTTTTTCTCTATATCCCCTACTCTCTGCTTCAACCCCCCTTCCACGTAGCTGGCTCCTCCTCCCAACACCTACCTCTTGGTTCATGCAAATGCACTGCTGAATATGCATGACAGGGTGACAGCTACAACATCTACCAGTGAAAACCTCTGTTGCCACAAAATTCCCAAACTATCTCTCTATCTCTTCAAACTCTCCACTCGTTTTTCTCTATATCCCCTACTCTCTGCTTCAACCCCCCTTCCACGTAGCTGGCTCCTCCTCCCAACACCTACCTCTTGGTTCATGCAAATGCACTGCTGAATATGCATGACAGGGTGACAGCTACAACATCTACCAGTGAAAACCTCTGACTTGCAGGCTGCATGGGTGTCAGTGCATAAAACTCAGAGCCTTATTCCTATGATACAGCTTACCCTTGGCTGCCAACATTGTCACAGAGGCATTGGAAGAGAGAGTTTGCCTTTTACTAAACACCGTTTACAATATAGCTATTGATTTTTGAATATGAAAATCATTATATTAAAAATGCAGTGTTGACTTATACTTTCTAAATGAGCAGAGGGAATAATATTTGAACTCAATCAAACTATCAGCAAAATAAAATAAAATAAAATAGGACTTAATTCAAGGCCCACAAGATGCTCACAGAAAGGAAATTTTTAAAAAATGGATTACGGTAAGGAGCAAAGAGAAAGGTAACTTTTCATCTTTCTGTGTAATACCATGTTTAGTGTCAGATTGAACTACAAATGCTAATAGGCTACGGAACATGACATGCTTCTCCCCACTTCAGCTTTCCCCCCCTCACTAGGCAATGTTATCCTATGCACTAAGAAGCTACTTTGATTATTTAATCAAAAGCACTGGTCATATCAGTCGAAGGAACATGTTGTGTCATCATGTTAGCAGGCAATAATTTAAGCACACATTCATAATGAAACCTGTTTATAACTCAATGAATGAAAATCCCTTTCAGATTGAAATCTAACAACAACAAAAAGGAAGATGAGGGAAATATAAAGATAGACCGTATAAAACCAGAAAGAGTGATAAAATCAGGATGTGCTCACAAAATTTCTCATTCTTGATAAGAAACACAGACTAGAAATTGCTAGCATTTGGGGAGCCCAAGTCAAGGAGCAGATTCCTCCCACCCATTCACCCCTGCTTGAAGGCTGTGCAAAATAGAAACTTGGAAGGTGCATCATAACACATGAAAAGCTCTAACATAACGTATAACCAGACTCCTCAGGTGTTTTATGCTAAATCTTTGGTGTTTAGCATGCTCAGGACTTACATATAAGAGACAGTTGATAAATTAATATCTTTCTTTGCATAATAGGGTATTTATACATAAGACAGAGACAGAGACAGAGACAGAGACAGAATCAAACAAGAGAAAATGATGACAGCAGAGAATCAAGACATGAAGAGGAATGAATACTCCTTGACTATCTGAAAGAGATATGCTGCATGGCTCTGTGCAGATGCAATTGTGGCAGTGAAGAATGGCTTCTTCATTGCCATTACTGTGATGGAGTAAGAGTTTCAATGAGCTCTATCCCAAGTTCAATTGGCTCTCCTCCATGTTTTCCACATTCATCACTCTAATCTCTATCCTACTCATCTCATCAGCAGTAGATCACGAGTACTGTAGAGATGGGCACAGACCTGAGTTTGGAAGTTCATGCTGGTTCGTACACATGGCACCACAGGTGACATATATTCCCTTCCCCTGATTCCCTGGCCAATGACCCATTCACTGGTCAGAGCATGCTCCTCTCCTCCTCCTCTTCAGCCGTTTGACCTGTCCCCAGTAGTGGCATGGGGTTGCCTGTCCTGCCTCCTTGTCTGAGTGGGCAATCAGCCAAGGAGGTGGGGCAGGGCAGCTTGTGCTCCTGCAGGAGACTGGCTGAACAACTAAAGAGGAGGAGGAGAGGAGCACACTCGGGCTGGTGAGTGGGGGATCCAGCCAGGGAGACAGGGGAAGGGAGGTTCCGCATGTTCTTGCCCACCTCTACTCACTAGTAAACTAAGCAACTGGTTTGACTGCTCACCACAGGAGGGGACAGTTGAGAGCGATCATTTCAATACACTTGGTCACATCTGTGTTCCAGAGATCCACCAAAACCTTGACAGGATCACCTGCCAAGACAGCCAGAAACTTCTCAAGAGTGGTCAGGAAGCCATTAGGCTCCATCAGTCTCCTAGGGTGGACCATTTTAATTACTCTTTACCCACCACTGCAGAGGCTCAGAGTTCCAACAAGCTTAAACCCTACTGGGTAGTAATCTGTCCACAATAATGGAATTACCAAAAGCTTATCCACACCCAGACCATAACCATCCTGCCTTTTAGAGAAAGTGTGCAGAGTATGCTATAGTAACAAAGAGGAGAAAAAATATTTTTAAAAAAACAATGCACAAATTGTATTGCTGTTGTTCTTCACATCAATGTCAGCAGAAGGCAGGCAAAGGGAGTAAGGTTTACTTCTGCAACCTACCTCATTTTTTGCATTATCAGTTATATAATCAAGATGCACATTAAAAGGGTCATAAAGGACAAATGTAGGCTATCACAAAAGTCAAAAGAAAGGAAAAAGAATGTGACTGACAACACTAAGAAAGAAAGAAAGAAAGAAAGAAAGAAAGAAAGAAAGAAAGAAAGAAAGAAAGAAAGAAAGAAAGAAAGAAAGAAATTCCAAAACAAAACATCCCCCCCCCAAAAAAAAAAACACCTTATGGCCAAACAAGATATATGAAGTCTTTGGATGTAGAAAGTAGAAACAGGCTCTTTATTCTGTATTTCTTTAAAAGAGTCATTAAAAAGCTCTGCTCAATGTGTTTCGGCGAAGCCTTATTCAGGAGCCAGCTTCTTTATACTCTCTGCACCTTTCTTTGGTCTATATCAGCTCCAAAAGTAATTGAAAGTTTTTGTGTCTCATTTATAAACTGGACTTCCATGGATGTACCAGTTCCTTTTGTTTTGTTAAACAAGATATACTGCATAGGTAAAGGTAAAGGTTCCCCTTGACATTTAGTCCAGTGGTATCCAACTCTAGGTTGCGGTGCTTATCCCCGTTTCCAAGCCATAGAGCCAGCGTTTGTCTGAAGACCGTTTCCATGGTCACGTGGCCAGTGCAACTAGACACGGAATGCCGTTACCTTCCCACCAAGGTGGTCCCTATTTATCTACTCTCATTTTTACATGCTTTCGAACTGCTAGGTTGGCAGGAGCTGGGACAAGCGACACCAATCTTGCGGCGGCTGATCTTCTGACCTTGCAGCACAGAGGCTTCTGTGGTTTAACCCGCAGCACCACTTATGCCAAAAGACTGGATCTGCTTGCAATTAGTGATAGAGTTGTGTACTCAATTGAATAAACATTGGAAGGAACAGTGAGAAACATGCACAAACAGCAGGACAAATACCCTTCTATTTGATCCCTGAGTTGTATAGCTTTGTCTTTTCTTCTCATCAATGCTAGAGCTGAACATGCCTTTTTAACCACAATTACTTCTACTACCCATCAAAGACTCAATTATGGATAATCAGAAAAGAAGTGGCAAAATGAGATGAAACTAACTTGTTATGCTCCCTCCATTCTGGGTTAAAACATCTGAATCCTCTGTTAGAGATCCTAATAATAACTCTTAATGTGCAACATACTTAGAATCATGCCTCAATATTGCAAACTTCTAGGATAACAGACAGTAACAAAATCTTATGCACTTTCTGTCTGTTTGTTGCTATTATTTCACAGTGATGCTTCTACAAATGTCAGTCAGGAATATACACATGCCAAGACAGTTGGGTCTAGCTGGCTATAGCTACTGCAATTATTTAAATAAGATTATTCTTTTTAAAGTTAAATAAATGCCCTGGAAATAAAAACAACCAGAACATGCACTTGCTATCCTGCAAAAGTCAACAAGTAGGAATGGAATTTATAAACAAGGCAGAGCCCCTTCTGGTTAGATGGGTAGTTTGTTTGTTTGTTTGTTTGTTTGTTTATTAAATAAATAAATAAATAAATAAATAAATAAATAAATAAATAAATAAATAAATAAATAAATAAATAAATAGTGCAGCAGAACAAATCAACATTCCACAAAGCAACTGTACAAATGGAGACAGCATAAACAAAACATTATAAATTTAATCTGGATTTTAGATCAGCACCAGATTTACCACAGTTGAAGCACATGGCCTGTTCTTGCTCTATGCCACATTTGGGGATGTTTGGGCAAAGGATTTTCAAGTTGTGAGTTTTAAAAGTATAACTGTGTTATCACACAGATTAGATTAGGCATCCTTCAGTCTCGAGAGACTATGTTAATGTGCTCTGTATGGAGGACTTGGAACAGCATCTAGCGTGGCTGAGAGTGACAATTCCTTCCACACTGAAGACAAATTCCAATTCGAGAGTGACAATCCCTTCCACACTGAAGACAAATCCAATCTGTCCCCTGTCCAGCTCCCTGATTTTGCTGCTTTCATGGCTGTCTCTTTGCCTTGGCCTGCTGGACAAGGGTCTCTTCAAATTGGGAGAGGTCATGATATAACACCTGCCTCCAAGCTAAACACTCAGGTGTCAGGGGTTCCCATTTGTTGAGGTCCATTCCTAAGGCCTTCAGATCCCGCTTGCAGATATCCTTGTATCACAGCTGTGGTCTGTCTCTGGGATGATTTCCCTGCACTAATTCTCCATACAGGAGATCTTTTGGAATCCGACCATCAGCCATTCTCACGACATTGCCAAGCCAATATAGACGTCACTATTTCGGTAATGTATACATGCTAAAAATTCCAGTACGATCTAGGACTACTCTATTTGGAACTTTGTCCTGCCAGGTGATACCACAAATATGTCAGAGACAACACATATGGAACATCCTTAGCTTCCTCTCCTGCTGTGTACAAAGGGCCCAGGACTCACTGCAGTACAGGAATGTGCTCAGGACACAGGCTCTATAGACCTGGATCTTGGTCTATGCCATCAGCTTCTTATTGAGCCATACTCTCTTTGTGAATCTTGATAACATGGTAGTTGCTTTGCCAATGCATTTATCCAGCTCAACACAGATACCATGCAGAAACAACCCGAAACATATCTAGATTTAAAGTAGCTCATACAAATTGAAAAGACCAGTCTTGCTTATCTTGAAAGAGAACGGTTAATCCCACCTGCTTTTTTTAAATTTGGAAAGAATCCAGGCTGCAGGGGTTGAAATATTGATCTTCAGAAAAGGCCCTTCAAAAGGGAAAAACAACCACTTTGTTATAATGCTGAGCATACTTGGAACAGCCTTACCAACAAGAGGATTCTAAAGCAGATATATTGTTGCAGCTTCTTGGCCCAGGAAGGGGAATGTTTGGAGGGTAATTAAAAGTTACAAAAACACTCAAAAGACAGTTTTTTGGAAGAGTAAAAAAACTCATTGCTTTAAAGAAAGCAATGGAGTGACTCCTCCAGAAAGTGACATTTTCTTTTGAACTCATCCGTGAACAGAGGAAGAAGGAAAAGAATGAGGTAATACACTGAGAAAACCCAAAAGAAATGTCTATGAATCCCGAGAATTGAAGTTTTTTTCTTTGATGCATGCCTATCACAGACTAAAGGTAAAAGGTAAAGGTTCCCCATGACAATTTTTGTCCAGTCGTGTTTGACTCTAGGGGGCGGTGCTCATCCCCGTTTCCAAGCCATAAAGCCAGCATTTTTGTCCAAAGACAATCTTCCATGGTCATTTGGCCAGTGCGACTTTGACACGGAACGCTGTTACCTTCCCACCGAGGTGGTCCCTATTTATCTACTGGCATTTGCATGCTTTTGAACCACTAGGTTGGCGGGAGCTTGGACAAGCAACGGGAGCTCACTCCATCGCGTGGATTCAATCTTATGACTGCTTGGTCTTCTGGCCCTGCAGCAC